AAAAAAAAAAAACAAAGCAAGGTGAAACGTCGCACAGTGCGTGCCGTAGAACAAACTGGTAAATGACTACGTGGGTGCACGTACTCCATATTTCGACATAACAATTTCGAATTTATGTGTCTCCCTTACCTTCTTCTTCTTGTCCTCCTGAATTTCCTTCTTCTTCTCCTCGATGAGCCTTTGCAAAATTTGCGCCTGGGTCACCTTGGAATTGGTAGTTTTCTGCACGAGAAAGACGAGAAGTGGGCGTGATGTGAAGAAGTGCAAAAGCATGAAGAAGCAACTATGCACATCATACAATTAACACAATCAGAACGAAGGAAAAAAAAAGAAAAAAAAAAAAAACACACACACACACACAATGCTGACTAACCAAACTGCAACAAAGCAGCTAAAACGATTTAAGAAAAAAAAAAATATTCCTTTGCGAGACATTCCCGGCAAATAGACTTACACTTTCTTTGTTAGACTTAAGCGCCTTTTCTTCTTCTCCGTATAACTCCCTTAATTCTTTTTTCCTGTCAAGTTTCTGTTGTCTTTTATTTTCGGCTTCGATCTGCGAGAGTAGAGAGGGGGTGCATTTAAGGGGAAGAGACCAAACAACGTAATAATACCAACCTTGGAAAAAAAAAAAAAAAAAAGTATGGTACGTCAATAACCACACGATGGGTAGGGTGGCATGAGGCATCTTTACCTTCCTCTGAATTTTCGCTTGGGCCTTCTTATCATCGTCCTTCCAATACTCATCCAACTTCTTCTCCTCCAGCTCTTTCTGCTTCTTGTCTTTTTGCATTTTTTTTCGAAGCCTGGCTTCGATAGCCCTCGAATTTCCGGCGCCCCATTGCGGCATCTTTGGAATAGATTTATGGGTTAAGGCAAACTTGGAGCCTCAAAAAGAAATAAAAAAAAAAAAGTGACAATTTTGACAAAAATCAAAAACTCAGCAAATTTGTTCACTCCAAGTGTGTGATAAAAACTGACTTAAAAAAAATTTGAATACATAATATGCCCCTTCACGTACATGGCTGTGCAACATATGCCCGCCAGTCTCAGAATCATCTACATTTATATATGACTTTAAAGGAGAAATTAAAACCAAAGCTCTGCTCCTTTTCGAAATTCCAAGAAAGGTTGAAAAGGAAATTATTTCATTGATAATTTTTTTATATTTTTATATATATATTTTTTTTTTTTTTACATTTTTTAAATTGTACAATTAGCTACAATTTAGCAAGTCCGCTTCGGATAAAAAAAAAAAAATAAAAATAACGTGTGGGCGGGGCGGTATTTGTGCCTGTTTAGGCCGCTCTCAATGCGAGGTTTGCGCTATTCCAACCCTCAGGGCAAGTGGGCGGTAATAATATCATACCTTATACGAAAATGTATGTACCAATTAATACATGCACCAGCATCCTGTGTAAACATTTTTGCGTGCATAACCAGGATCGATCAACTCTCAACAGAGGGGAAATTTATCACCCCTGAAGTTTAACAAAATTAATCACCTTTACCAGGCATTTCATCCAATCACTGTGTCGTAAAAATGAAAAAAATTAAAACAACCATGATGATACGCAAGTGATTGTAGACCAAGTAAGAGGGGCATTCCAAGCCCGATGACCAACGCCACAAGATGAAGTTTCCCCGCCAACTGGCACAAAAACCTTACATGTTAGATACACTTTCTACCACCCCAAAATGCAACCAATTACGGCCAACTCTTCATCTATGAGAAGGCTAACGAGCTGTTTAATTTTTCTCTCCCCAAAAAAATGACTGCCCCCGTGCGGAGGAATTTTCCCACACCAACTTCGCCACAGAAAAGTGAACAATTTTTACGTGAAAAAAAATGTGGGGCCACTTGCGCCCAGAAATATCCCAAAGGAGAGACAACGCGTTATGCCTGTTCTTAGGGGAAAACAAAAAAAAAAAAAAAAAAAAAAAAAAAAAAAAAAAA